TTTTTTTTTTTTTCGGTACTGGGGATCAAACTTGCGCTTTTGAGGCAGGCTACAGAACCACTGAGCTAAATCCCCAGCCCCAGAAGAGCCATTTGTAATGTTAGGTTCCACCCCGCAGTCTTGTCCCTGGAGAGCTTCCTGGTGAGAAGCGCCCCATCCTGGACACCTTCCTACTTGGACAATTAGCTGAGTCAGAGAAACATATCATGCAGTGAGAAGGATTCAGAACCAGGAGAGATGTTCATCACATAACATCTCCGAGGCTGTGAAGTGGGACCATAGCAGCAAGGATACCTGCGTCTGGGGTACTGGATGGCCAGGGCGGAGATGTGCTGCTGCGAGGCCAGCCCTTCCAAGGGATGTGATGTTGCCCTCAACAGTCGGCTAAGGTTTTCTCCTCTCTGGGCGTGCTTTGAGGTGGTCCTTATTGGACAGGTCCCTGGGTGAGTCTTCCGGAAGCTGACACCACCGGACAAAGCAGATCCAAAGGCAGCTGTACTCTGCGCCCCCTCCCCCGCACATTCGGGGTGACGCTGTTTGAAAAGGGCACTGTGCTGGGAAGGCCGGCCGGCGCACAGTAAATCGTGCTTTGAATGGGAGTTATTTTTGTGCTCAATGTTTGCTTAAGAGGGCTCGCTCCTGCCTGAACTCGCTGCGGTCCTCACCCTTCCCTAGTCCCCTTCCTGGAACCCGGATGTTAGGCAGGGTGGCCGCCACAATGCCTGTCACCAGCTGGGGAACCAGAACCTAGGGAGGATCGCGTTCACAGCTCCCTGCCCCCATGCCAGAAGGCGCGCTGTGGATGCTGGTCCTGGCTGGTGACCCCGTGTCGCCTGTCCCTTCCTGAGTTTAGGAAGGCTTGGTTAGGAGGTTGGCCACTTCTAACCTCTGCCTGCTCCTCTGACCAGGGGTCGCCATGTTTCTTTTAAAAATGCAAATCTTGTGTCTCAGCAGCAGCAGCACCAGCAGCAGCAGCAGCAGCGATGTGGTAGTTTCTCCTGAGAAGACCCGTTTATGTCCCAGGGCCCTGGTTGGAGGAGGCACTGGACACCCCATCCAAAGCCTTAGAGCGGTGAAGCCCTTTCCAGCCCCCCTAGAGACAGGGCTCTGCTCCCACCCCTTGTGTCCACAGCTCAGAGCCTTGAAACTACCTCTTGCTACTCTGGCCATATTCTTGGCCAGGGCTTGGCAGGAGGCCCTTTCTACTTTTAGAAGACCGGCTCTGCTTCCATGGCCTCAAGGCCCATACGGTTTCCTGCACTCCTAGGAGGAGCAGACTGGTGTCAGGGAGGCTGTGTGCCCAGAACTGAAGAGCAGCAGGGGTCAGACCCAGGGCTGTGAGAGGGCGGGGCTGATTTCCGGGGCCTGGGCACACGGTCGTCTCTAGTGAACCTAAGATCCCCTTGCGCCCAGGCTGTGCAGGGTGGGCCCGCGTCCCCGAGCTCCGGGTGGGCCAGGGCGACAGGCTAGGAGAGGAGCTGAGGTTTGTACCCAGGTGTTGAAGATTCCAACCAGGGGCGTTTGGTGGGGACGGGTGCAGGTGGGGTGGGTCGGACAGGGACCACATCCCCAGCTGCCACCTTTTTTGCCTCAGTAGCGCTCAGTCCCCAGGCCCTGTTGGTCTCTGACACCGGAAAGCCATTAAATCTGGAATTCAGCTCCCTAGATAGGAACAGCTTTCGGGCTCCTCCCCCATCCTGCCCCAGGCTCCCCCCAGCGGTGGCCTTAGCATTTAAATGGCCTTGGCACAAAGCCCCGAAAGCTGTCCCTGGGACCGGGGCAGGGGGAGGGGTATTAGTGTCACCCCCCACGTTGTTCCCCTGTGTCTCGGGACAGGTCCAAGGTAGGGTTTCAGCATTGTGGCTGAAGAGGGGAGTAGGGGCCGCTGCTGGGCAGCACCCTGGCGCCCTTCTCCCTGGGCTTTGGTCTTCGATTCCTGCCAGGCCTGGACTCCCTGGGGGACCTGACCCCGAGGAGACGCCTGCTTTCCTCCCGGTGACCTCACCTCTCAGTCTCCACCCCCTGGCCGGCTCAGAATGGAATGTGCAGCCTGTGGAATGGCCGGGGTGAGCCGCCGAGTCCCAGGGCCGCCTCTCCCTAGGCTTTTCCGACTGGGGCCTGCGCCCTGGGGGTCCAGCTGTGATGCAGAGAAGGAGCAGCTGGCCCAAGGCTGCCCTTCTGAGCCCAGGCTGAGGGCAGGTGGGGAGTTGGAGGCCAGGGCTCCGACATGCAGAGTGGCTGTGTCCCCAGGGCCAGCAGCTGAGGTGACCCAACAGAGGCAGGCGTCCCTCGTTGACTTTTTAAAAAAATTGCGGCTCCTATTTATTTTCTTATTTCCATAGTTTCTGAAAGCAAAACATCAGTGTGTGTTAACTTTGTGATCACAGTGAAAGGGATTTAAAATATACTTAAGTACCAGCAGTGAGGCCGGAGGAGGCATGGGTGTTTTTCCACGGAGGACCCGGGAGTTGGGCTGGACCACCTCTGTAGGGGGCAGAAAGAGGGTCCCTGCTGGAGGGGTGAGGGTGGCAGGGCGAGAGCCACCAGTGAGTCTGGGCTGGTGCCCTCTCATCACGACAGTGAGGCCTCCAGCCTCGGCCCTGGCACACACTTGGCCGCCCGGGGAGGCCAGATGGGGAGGGAGCCTCGGCTCAAGCTGCCTTCCCACGGGCTCAGAAGAAGAGGGCAGAGCGGAGGGCACAGGGCTGACAGCGCCTTGGAGCCTTTGTGCAGTCCCCGCCCCGGGAGGCTTGGGTTCCACGCCCTCCCCAGGGCCCAGGCAGGGTGGGGAAGGGGGAATGGAGGGCTGGAAGGTGGCTGGGCAGGTTGGGTGTGGGAGGGATGGGCACAGGGCATGTTGAAAGCCCCTGCACGGTCTCCCACTTGCAGGGCTCCCATTTTCTTGGCTGGTGGAGAAGGTGCGTGCGTGCGTGCGTGCGTTTGTGTGCGTGCATGTGTGCTCTGAGGACCTATCACCCTCCTCTGGACCCCAGGCAGGGCCTCAGTTCAGGCAGCTGTGAGCAACGTGAAGAAGGAAAAGTAGAGGCCATGAAAGAGTCGCAACAGGGCCCACAAGGAGGCAGGCGCAGGGGGCTCTTCTTGGTCCCCTCTCCTGGTGCTTCACCCTCCAGAGCTCCTGGTCCCCATGCACACTGGGTTTTAATCTCACTCTCCCTGGTGGAGAGGCACAGTGGGTAATCCCTCGTGCCCTCCCTTCGCCCTCTGTAGACTCAGCCATGGAACCCACAGCCCCGCCATCCGACAGGCAGATGATGTTGGGAAGCCTGGCCAGGGTGGGCAGCTGAGGAGGAGAGAAGCAGGTAGAGGACTCCAGCGGTGGCAGGGCAGGAGGGGGAGGCCTGTCCTCTGAGCCGGGGTGGAGGACTCAGCCTCTGTACCAGGTACCCTAGCCGTGAACTCGCAGGGAGCAGAGCAAAAGGGTCCTGTGTCCTGTCTCGCCTTCCTTAGGGGCAAGTACAGGAGGGCTTTCTCTCTGGTGTCTGAGGGCTGATCATGGCTGCTGTCTGCTGGAGAATTATAATGAGGATGCGAGTCTGGTGCATGAGGCTCTTAGAGTTGTGCAGGCTGCAGTCTACACAGCAGTCCATGATGGCCCAGTAGGGGCTTATTTTTTTCATAATGAAAGTTCCTCTTCTACCAGGTTTGCCCAGCCTTAGACCTCATATTCTTCAGTGTGGCTGTCCCCAAATGGGGAGTGATCTTGGTTATTTTGTTACCCTTTTCTGGGCACTGATGGAGAACTGGGGGACCAGGATTAAAGGGCAGGCTTGTGCCTGAGTGTGGGTGTGTTTGGTGCGCGCGCGCTCTCTCTCTCTCTCTCTCTCTCTCTCTCTCTCTCTCGTTCTCTCGTTCTTTGAGACAGGGTCTCGCTATATAGTCCAGGCTGGTCTTCAACTCACTATGTAGCCCAGACTGGCCTCAAACTCCTGGTGATCCTCCTGCTTCAGCCTCCCAAGTGCTGGGATTACAGGCATGAATCACCATGCCTTGCTTGGCAGTTCACAGGGGGTCTGTGGAGGGCAACGGACAGTCACCTGGCCTGTGTTAAGTCGGGGGTCCTGGCTGACTAATTGGCCACAGGTGTAAGTGAACGCCTGATTCCTGGCTGCAGGCAGCTGGGGTTTAGGAGCCCACAGACTGGGCTGTCAAGCCTGAGGCAGGCACGTGAAAGGCTTCCCTTCCCATCTCCCAGCAGCCCCTCCACATGCTCAGGCCCTGTGGCCATATGTCCCTCACTCAGCCCATGGGGTCATCTTTGCGTCTGTGCCCTCCCTCCCATCATCACAACTGCCCACCCCTCGGCCCCAAGGGGACCCTTGCTTGTTTGAGGAGATAACTGACTGCTCAGGTTTAACCAATTTACCTTCTTGGGCTCCTGGCAAATTAACGGCTAGCTCCAGAAGCATGTCCCCCTGTTAACCAGCCACGGGCCTCATTAATCCAAAAGTGATTTTAAAATGGGAACTCGGGGTGGGGGCCTGCTCTGCTTACCAGCCATCTGCAGCCCTTCCCCGTGGCTGGGCCAGGCCACACGCCCTACAAAAGTAAGTACTTGACCCGATACTGAAAAACTCAAGGGCGGTGCAGGGGGCTTCGAGAGCATCCGGAAGGGGCCCCCAGCTCCCTGTTAGACGGGAGGAGATGGTTTGGGAAGAACAAGCCAGGGGCAAAGAAGGACACATGGACAGGACTCCCCTCTCCCATCTCCTGGCCTCCACTTGTCTCTCGGGGCAGGTCAGATGGTCCTGCCCCTCACCAAGGACCCTCGCGTGTCATGACTGCGGGGCAGGTGGGTGGTAGCCGTTTGAGGACGGGGTGGCCGCATCCAGGTTTGTTGCGCCCTCGAATGCGGGGGGGCTTGGGGTGGGGGCCGCCTGTGGTGTGGCACTGCAGGTTCCCGCAGAGCTGGGGTGCATCTCGTGTATCTCCCCAGCTGCCTGGAGTTTGGAGCCCCAAACCTCTCTCCCAGGCAGCACAGCAGGGGTGGGGGTATGGGACTTCCCGGGCCAACTGCAGGCTAGCCAGGCTGGCGTGAAATGCCTTCGTGAAATGCCTTCGCTGCCCTCTCCTCTGGCCCCCCTGTCGTCCTGAAAATCAACAAGTGTGTCAACAGCGGGGTGATTGTGCTTGGCCGGCGGCCTCCGGCCTGCCAGGACTAGGCAGGTGCTGGCAGGGCCACCCGAGCCCCATGCTGGGTGCAGACCCCACTGCCTGCCAGGGCTGCAGGGTAAACAAGGCTGCACACAGGGAGCAGGGGAGGGACGCCACGGCAGGCAGGAGGCAGAACAGGTGTCTCAGGAGCCCTGCAGACACAAAGGGCCCTTGTCTCCTCCTGGCCCCGGGGAGCAGCCCTGCCCTCCCTCCTCTCAGGCCCTGCCCAGGGACCAGGTCAGCCTGAGGTGCAGACTTGCAGCCCACCAGCCCCGCCTGCCCCGCACCTTGCAAGGCCTTGCCGGAGACAGGTGAGACTGGTCTGGGTGTAGGAGCTGCAGAAGCAGGACATCTGCTGAGCGAGTCCACCAGCCCTTGGGCCTCTGTGGGTCTCAGTTTCCCCGATGTTTATTCAGCCCCACTGGGGACCCAGGCAAGAGGTGGACAAGGGATGTGGAGAGTCGCTGGCGCTCTGGGAAGGAGAAAGTGCTGAGTGTCGGGAGCGATGGAAGCAGAGTTGGGATGCAGGGAGGCCTGTGGAGTTTGGGGCTAGAGGTGGCCGGGCGTTTGGTCACACCCTCCTTCCTCTTTACCTGGTTATGAAACACACCTCAGCGAGGTGCCTGCCATACGTCAGGCACTGCACTAGGGCTGGGGAGGCAATGGGGAATGATACAGGACCAGCAAAGACGGAGCCCCAGGCCCAGCCTGCCTGTGTGATGGTGGATGAGGAAGTTATCCCTCTGAGTCCCAGCTGCCCCATCTGTAAAATGGGAGTTGGGACAGTAGGACCTGCCTTGTGCTCGGGGTTGGTTGTGATGGTCGGTCTGTGAAGAGCCGTACAGTGATGCCGGGCATATAGTACACCGGGCTTATTAATACACCTGTCCCGGAGAACTAGGGGCTCAGACCCAGCCAGACCCTGAGAGGTAGACAAGGGAACAAGTAATTGAACTCAGTGAAGCACTAGAGACCAGTGATGGTCAAGGTCTCAAGGATTCCCTAAAGGAATACAGACCCTTCTAGGATTGTCACAGAGAGACTTGTAAAGGAGGGGGACATTTAAGATGGGTTTTGAGCGAGGTGCAGGAGTTTGCGGCTCTGGAATGTGGACAGGGCCTTCTGGGCAGGAGGACCGTGTGAGCCAGAGCCCCGAGGTGTGGATGTGGGTGGGTGACAGCCGGAGGCTGGCCTGGGCGAGCTGGAGGGCCTGCACTTGAGGGAGGAGTTTGGGTGTCTTCCCTGCCTGTTGTCCGCTCCTCCTGCTCAGGTGCAAGTGTGGTTGTCAGTATCTTCCCTTCCTCCCCACTGTGCTCTGTGACGCATGAGTCCTCCTCGCTCACTCTGGAGTAGTCCTCAGTGTCTAGGGAGGCAGGATGGTTTGGTGAACACACACCTTCCAGTGTTCCAGGGTTCCGGATTTGAAGCTTCTGAATCTTGAATCTTGCTACTGGGCCATTATCTGATTTCTCTGAGCTGGATTTTCCTCATCCACAGAGGGGCAGTGGTAATTCCCTGTGGCAGGGTGTTTTGGAGATTGGAGGAACCTGGGTGTAGTGGCGCATACCGGCAATCCCAGCCTCTGGGAGGCTGAGGCAGGAGGATCATGGGTTTGAGCTTATCCTGGGCAACTTTGCAAGACCCTGTCTTCATAAAAAAAAAAAAAAAAAATGGCTGAGGATGTAGCTTAGTGTGAATTTAATCTCCAGTACTGGGAAAAATAAATGAGAGGAACAGGCCAGGTCCATGCAGAGCGACTACTCCCTGTGTGAGCTGGCCAGGGCCGGACCTGCCTCGTCCTCCATCTCTAACAGCGTTGTCTCTTCTTGCATGGTTCCTAGAGGTGAGGGGCTGGGCTGCCGTGGATAGATGGGTCTGGCCAGGAGGCCCTGGGCCCCTGGGCTTGTGCAGAGGGGCTGGTGCTCACCTTCAGGGCCTCTTTCATGGGTACCTGACTGCGGCAGGGCGGCCATCAGTGCAGGGAGATTCCTCCAGCTGTCCAGCGGCTGCTGCCTATGTATCGGGTAGGAAGTCCCCCGTCCACCCTTTCTCCCCATGAGAAGCCCTTTGGGCCCTCTTGACCTCCCCCTGATGGCTGTGCTGGGGCCGTGGGTGCCAGCTGAGACTGAAGCCCCCATCTGGCCTCTGCTATTGACGGTGTGTGGGTGTGTGTGCCCTTAAGTTGATCACTCAGGCTCCTGAATCTGCACTCCCCGCTCAGCAGGGTGTGCAGGGCATGCTAACCCCTCCCGAGGTCAAAAGGGAATGCGGTCCTTCGGTGGAGCAGATGAGTGTGGTGTGCCATCACCCTGGTAGTCTCTGCAGCTTCACAGCCTCTGTATCTGTGCTGGGCTATGCTGCGTATTAGGGAGGACGGAAAGCATCCAGCCGGCTCCCCGCACAGATGGGGAGGTTGAGGTTCAGGGAGGTGGAGTCGCCAGGTGGTGTGCGCTTGCCTCCTGCCCTGGCATCTCGCCATTGGGTTTGAAACACTGGTGTGGGCAGGCCTGGGAGCATGGAGGGACGCCTGCATCCCACTGGGTCTCCAGGCAGCTCAGGGAGCCCCGCCTAAGGCCACATCTGGAAGGATGTTTGTGCCCTTCTCCATGCCCCTCGAGCTTGCCAGTGCGGCCATGCCCATGTGGACACGCTGCTTTCCCTCCTCCCCTGCCGGTGTGCTTCTCAGGTGGCCATGAGGTAAAGAGGCCCAGGAGAGGGATTGTGCAAAGCGGGTGCTGGGAGGTAGGTCTGGGGACATTGCTCTGGGTTCCTGTGGGCAGGTGGCTTTGCAGGTGCCCTGGAAACTGCACAGGCAAGAGAGGGAGAGGAGGAAAGAGCAGGAAACAGGAGGAGGCCACTTGGATCCCTCCGGGAAACGTGTCCACTTGCGCGTGTAGTTTGTGTCTAAGCAGTGCACGGGACACAGTGTTAGAACCTCCCCTCGGGTACAGCAGGATTTGTCATTTACCAACCCTTTCCCAAGACAACTGCTTCTGGCTTTTTGCTCCTGCCTGTGCCATTTTTCTCCTGTCCCACGTACCCCTGTGACCTCTCTCAGTGCCTGGGAAGAGAGTCGGCGAGGGGCTTTCCCTGGCACTGGCCTGATCTGATCTCCCCAGGGTTAGCAGAGGAGCATCGGATGCTCACAGCACCCCTGCCCTGGCCCTGGCGCCTCTACTTCACCTGTGTCAGGGATCAGGCACTCTCAGAGCTTGGCACTTGGAAGGTGAGCCCGACGCCCATTAGAGAGGGGACGCTGGAAACCACGACACAGAGGGCAGGGCTGCGAGGGGGAGAAGCCAGCCGCTGGGCTAAGGTCCTGAGGGTGGGAGAAACTGACTTCCTCCCAGGGACTGCCTGAGGAGGCTTTCCTTTCTCTCCTGGGTCTCACAGGAACTAGTGCTGAGGATGAACGGGATGGAAAGGAAGAGGCCTATTATTTTGTTTTTCAGATTGAGAGTCTGTTATTAGCAATTTATTACATCCGGGTCTGCAGCCAAGCACATTCTGTTTTCCAGTGTCGGGGGAAGACACTTGGGGAGACGGGGCAAGAGGCCGGGCCGGAAGGAGGTCTGGATCAACAGTTTCATAACTGACGATGTGTTGGCTTGGCTGTGCAAGCGGAGGGTTTAGCAGGACCAGTTTGAGCCCAGCCTGGTGTGCGGAGGCGTCTTCCGGATGGCATTGGACTCCCAAGGGACCCCAAATCACCGAAAGCAGGGTGAGCGGGCCCCCCTCCCACACTCAGGCTCTCCGGGCCTTGGGCCTCAGATTTCTCTCGGTGAAACGGGGTCGGAGCCCTGGAGGGAGCCCTATAGCGAGGAGAGTGAGCAGGTAGATAGGTGCGAGAACCCCGGAACGGGAGGAGTAAGCAAGATGGCCACCCAGCGAACGAACCGCGCATGAGCAAAACAACCCCCTTCTTGCAAATTGCTGAGCTGGTGGAATATCGGGGGGTGGCTGTGAGATCCGGGGTGGCAGAGAGGGCTCTGTGGGTGCCTGCGCTGTGTGTGCAGGTTGCTGTGTAGAGGCCCCGAAAGAGAATGGAGAAGGCTGGGCCAGCGCCCGGGGCACCCCTTCCTCTGAGCCGGGCTCTACCCCCGCGCCTCCCGAGGCACATCCCTGGTCCCTGTTCCTGGAAACGGGCCTACTTCCTCCACCCACCCCTCACGTAAGTGTCCCCATCTTCCCTTACCCCTCCCATGCTCCTCCCAACTCTGGGTTTGACTCCAAGGAGCCACAGCACCCTGTCCTTCAGGGGCTGCGCTGCGTCCCCCAGGAGGCCCTGGTGCCAGACGGTCGGGAAGGAGGGAACCCTCTCTGCAGGGAGGGGCTACCTGGTCCCCCGAAGGGGTGTGGGTGCTCTGGGCAGAGGGAACCACCCAAATGGTGGTTTAGTGCATCCCAGCCACATCTCCAAGCTTGGTGCCACTGGTGGTGGTCGAGGTCAGGTTTGGTGTATGAGAGGTCTGGCAGACTCTGGGAAGGCCAGTGCTGAGAACCGGGTGCCGGTCAGGGGCAGAGTTAGCCAGCGAGCCTGGGCCTGTTTCCAGCTGCGAGTGTGGACTGTTACCTTATTGTCCCCTATGTATAGCTGGTGCCTGCTTTGCCCGATGCTGGTTGCTCATCCTGTCGTCT